GCCCCCCCCCCCCGCGCCGCCGCCCCGCGCCCACCATGACGGCGGAGACCCACCTGCAGGGCGTGGAGATCTCGGCCGCCCAGTTCTTCGAGATCTGGCACCACTACGACTCCGACGGTGACTCCTTTCCCCCCGGGGCAGCGGGGGAGCGGGGGGCGAGGGGGGCAGGCCCGCGGGAGGCTGGGGGGACCCCTCCGCTCCCCGCCTGGCGGCCGCCGCCGCAGCCTCGGGGCGCAGCCCCGCAGCCGTGAAGGGGTCCGGGCGAGGGGCGCGGGCGCCGCTCCCCCGGGAGCGAGAGACGGGTCGGAGATGTCCCTGTGCCGGCGCTGGAGAGCAGAGAGTTTGGAGGGAGCGGTGACGGCAACCGTAACTCTTTGTGTTGTAGGCAATGGGTTCATGGATGGGAAGGAGCTACAAAACTTCATCCAGGAGCTGCAGCAGGCACGGAAGAAGGCAGGCTTGGTAGGTTAATGTTTGGCCCCACTTTTCCATCTTCTCGGGAAAGAAGAGTTTTCTTGAGCAAACTCCAGTGCCCCAGTTCCTTTTGTTCTCTCTTGCCATGACACGGGTCATGCACCTGCCTCACCAGGCAAAGGGAAGTAGCTCGGTTAGAAATGAGCAGGTTGCAAATGAAATAAATCTTCTACTTTGGAAAGGTGAGACCAGGGTCCACCCCCGTGGAGAGCGGGTCCCGCTCATGCCTTGCCAGGCTACAAGCTGATACTTCTGACAGTGCTAAAAAAAGAAAAGTCAAGAAATACATGGATGTTGTCTTTTTGTCTTGGATGGGACCTTATCCCATTGCAATTAATCTTATCTGATCTAGATATGTACTCTTACTAAAATGGGAAAGAAAAAATAAAAAAGAAAAGATAAAGGGGGTGGGGGAAGAAAAAAGAAAAAGAAAAAAACAACACGTCAAGGTAGTTGGACTCTGTTTTATTTTCATACCTAACGGGCAGTATGGGCTGAAATGCATTCCTGCCCCTTGGTGGTCACTAAATAGATCTGCAGATGACTCCTAATCATTTCTTGTTCTTCACTAGGAGTATGAGTACCAAATCCTGGCTGTTTAAATTGTTCAGAGAGACAACAAAGCTTTTGACAGTGTTGTCAAAACTCTTATGTATATGAGTTATCGAAACATTAATTATTCATTTCCTCCAAACTATCGCCATATGGGAAAAACAACAATAAAAAAAAGAGACAAAGAAAGAAATTAAAGATTCCATGTAAAGATTTGAATTAAAAGAGAAGGGAACATTTTTAACAAATAAATTGCCCTTAAAATAATCAGTTTCTAAATCAGGCCACTTTTAGCACCAAACTCCAATATATAACCTAAAAGAATTGGTTTAAATTAATCTATGCTGAAAGACTTCTGAAGAAACAGAAAATAAAATTATAATTTAACTGGATGACACATATGCATGGATGAAATAGATTAATACTTCATAATAAGAATGCCTCCAAACTGAGCAATAGCATTTCAATAATTACCTTTGCTTTGAAAGTTGCTGTATATTTTAGCAGTAAATGCAAAAAGAAAAAAATAATCTTCATTGATTTTGTGGAAAATTGTATCTTCTTATTACTTGTATGAGTGTAAACTTTACATATATGAAAATCTGTCTCCCAGTAGAGCCTCTAATGTTACTGCAGTTTAGGTACTAGTTAATTCTTCTTAGAGCTATTGGTGTAGGCTCTCGTTTTTGTGAATGCAAGTAAGTTTAAACTAAAATTAAAAATAAAACAAATCTAAAGTAAAAACAAACAAACAAACCAAAACAGCTAATTGGGAGTGGAATGGGGGGGGGGGGTTAGAGGGAAGAAGTATATTTTTTTCACAGAAAAGATTAAACTCAACTTCAATACATTTAAAGTATCGCAACAGAACAAATCTCTCTGCTATACTAAAGTGCAGGAAACTTAAGTATACTCAGTAGAAAGACGATATTAAAGCCTCTGTATATTTAGTATGAATGGCATTGTTAGTAGAAATGCTAATATATTATTCAGTAGTTAAAAAAATAATTAGAAGCTCAAGGACAAAAGTATTTATCATTTAAAAGTCAGATTAATTTCTCTCTCAAATTAAGCATGCATCTCTTAAAAACAGATCCTATTCAAAGCAACACAGAAAGCTTCATAGGATTATTCTTATCTGCTACAAATGTTATAATTTATGTGGTGTTTTTAAAATAACACCTGTCTGTATCTCACGCTATATTTTAAAAATGCTCAGGTGTCTAAGTTTTCCTTTCCCATTTCTCTGATTCAAACCTAACTTTGGAGTGTTCTGCTAAGAGCAATCTACAGTAGCAACATCAAATTCAGCACTTGGTCTGTGGTCTCTGGAGTACAGCTATATGTCATCTATATTTCAAATCTAACCTGATTCTTGGATTTTAAGGCTCATTTGCCAAACAAGCATTTCATTAGTTCATTTTTTTGTCTCGTGGGACACTAATTCAGTAGCGTTGAATTTCTAATTTTTTTGCCAGAAGGGACACATTGAAAAACTAGTGTAGGTTATATGTAATTTCCTTGTCTGTCCTTCTTTTAACACCCCAAAACTTCTTTGTCATCATTAACTTCTGCATTTCAGGTCATTCTCCTTCTCACTATTTTTGAAATATTCAATTATGCATTCTTCATAGCTGGATTTTGCATCAGTCATGCCATATGCTTTAAAGAATCACATTGATTCTGTCATCAAATATGATGGTTTAATATTTCCCAATATTCTTCCCAACCACGGAACTATTCTAATTATGTTCTAATGCTAATCCCTGTATTAATCCACTCAGTAAGCCTGTACTTTCACAGATGTTTTTTCTCAGACAGAGCATGCAGCTTGATTCAGGCTAGTCCCAATGGGGGGAATGTGTATTCAGAAGTTTTAGGGCTTGGGCTTTGGTAATATTAGGCATTATGGTAGACATTGATTTGATCTAATTTCAATCCTGTTAAAAGAACTGCCTCTTTTTTAAAGATAAAAGTTATATAAGTATATAAGCTTCCATTTATTGTGCTCCACATTTATGCAATACATTCCCTATTTGTCAAAAGAAACTTTGGGATATAAGTGATTAATACAGAAGCTGATGAAGTGTCAATAGGTGGATGTCGGCTGAACTATTCCACATTCGTTTCTCACTTTCCCTGCATATATAGATAGTGACAATATTTCTCCACAGAAATACAGTTTATGAATATGGTCATGTAAGTGTTTCTATAGTGCCATCTATCCTTACATTTTCAAATTATATAAAAAAACCCCTATTTTTTTTCTACAGTTTCACTTGTTGGACAAACTTCTCTTCTGAGGTGTCTGACTGAGGTGTGAAGGGCTAGTTTCTTAATTTCAAAAATTGAATACTGCATCTGTATCAAGTTTAGAAGTAGACTTGGTTAAATTTAGGCAAGTTTTTTTGACCAAAAAAATTTATTTGAATAATATAACTCAAAAAACTCATCAAACAGCTGAAGAGAGGGTGAAGTGAACACAAAAAACCCCACAATCATTTCTGAATAATGGACATGCATCCTGTTTTGTTTAACCTGTAATTGACTCTGCCTCCTTCCATGGCTGGACACTGTCTGGCACTGCAGAGCTGCTATTAGAAAGATTAGTAAAATGTTTAACCAAGACTAATTAAAATCCAAGTGTCTAAATTCTCCATTCTACATGCTAAGCAAACTTGTCCCCACTTTGGGATCATTAGATGAAAGGTGACTTTGAAGTGCATTGTATTAATAACCACATCTCTAATTAAAGCCACGGCAAATTACTAACCTGCCATGGATGACTTTGACCGAAATAGGATACTAGGCCGTGACTGTATCAGCTACAAGGAACTGACATTTTAGCTAGCTTTGGTAGTGAAATTTGGGACAAACTACAATGGACTTCGTACAGCTGAGATTCCCCATGTCTCCAGTGAGAGAATCACTTAGGTCCTATATAATCAGATTTATTATAGGAACTAAACCTTTAATTTTCAAAGTTTGCTGTATCTTCATCTATGACCATAGAACTGTCCATTGTATTATTATAACTGTAACCCTGATTCATCCTGCATGGTTTCAATAGCTCACACCTATAAGAAATACAATGAAAATTAAAAGTTTGATCAGTATTGAAGGTTGATGGTAGCTCATATCAAAGCAAGACAAGTCAACTAAAGTGTGAAATCAAATATTTAGATATTCACCCCAAGGCTGGTATCTTTTTCACAGTCTAGAATGAGGATAGCCTTAAGAGAGCAGGTGTATAGCGGGTACCATAATTTACATGAAGAACAATGATGGCTTTATTCTGTCAGATTTAAGATTTTGCTCAAAGTTTTCTTCCCCCTAAATCTGCCTCTCTACAGTTCAGCAGTGACATTTTGACTCTGTTTCCATGATAACCAAATACTAAACAGTGAAAAATATGATGCTGTGATGAGTTCTTTTAGGACTAAAATAGCATCCATTGTTCAGCAAAAATCCACTCAAAGATGTGGAAAGGCTATTTTGGTGTTCAGATATCTTATGCTGAATTTTTTCTTATTTTGAAAGATTTCACACTGCCTTCAAGTTACTAATTTAAGAATGAAAACTGAGAAAATGGACTAATAATTGCCTATGAACTACACTGTCATGCTCTTAAACAATGGAGCTGTTATACACATCTTCCAACACACTTGTCTTTATAATTTTTTCATTCTGTAAACTAAAATAGAGTTCTAAGTATTTAAATGCCAATCATTCACACTGACTATAATATAACTCCTTAGGAAGTAAAATTTATCACAATGACATTATTCATGATTAAAAAATAGTAATTTTCATTTAAACTTGAGGAGTCTAGCCGTGATGAGTGTATTTTATTAAATGTAGCATATTATTTTGCAACTAATAGAACATTCAAGTAAGTTTACATATGTTTCTCTGTATCTTCAAGTAATGATTCTATCATTGTAACTTTGTAGGATTTGACACCTGAAATGAAAGCTTTTGTGGACCAATATGGGAAGACTACCGATGGAAAAATAGGAATAGTCGAGGTAAGACTGTTACTTTGTAACAAAAGACTGACATGTTTACTTGAAGAAAATACATTTAACACAGAACAACATGAACATAACACGAGATAACCAATCTCTTTTCCTTGTGTAGCTGCTCAACAATTTCATCATTTACGCAACTTGCTAGGAAAGGATTTTCTCTCACTTTCACTCTTCAGTGCTGCAAGACAAAAAGGAGAATTCATAGAGTTACAGTTTAAGAAGTCACTTTTTTGAGCTTAAATTGACAACTCGTTTATGTCACTCTGAGTGCAATGAGACTGCAGTTTTATTATTAAATGATATTATATTTTTTCCCGATAATAAGAAATCTGACCTAGAGAGCTAATTAGGGAACACCTGGAAAAAAGCCAGGCCTGAAAAATTCTACAGTGACCAACTTTGGGTCAGTAGCTAATTTTAAAATAGAGGACTGAATAGAATCTGTAAAAGTCAATAGGAAGTATCACTACTGATATAATAGAAAATGTAAAGATATCTTTTCTGCATATGTCTCAATTTCATATACTTGTTTAAATACCTATGTAATTATGACTAAACTACCATAGAAATATGATCAGTTTGTTTCACTTGCAGCTGTAGTTGATTTTTAAAAATGCATCTTTTGACGATACTTAGTATTGATCAAATAGCTCTGCATCTAGAAAGAATTACTGTTTATTTGGTCTAACAAAATGTTTGGGTTTGGACTAACAAACACATATTTATTTGGTATCAAGAAATCCAATTTAAATAGTCTTTTTGAATATGTGTAATAGCAAGCATTGGATGCAAGAAGAATTTATGAACAGTGCCTGAAAAAGACTATGCTTCTTCACTTAGGAAAGATAACTGGAACATTTACCTTTCAAATTATTTTTCTGATTCTGGTATTGACTTAATGGGTAAAGATGAGCAAATCCAGTAGGGTCTGATATGGCTCACCACCCCCAGTGAAGCGCCAAGCATGCTCAGCATCCACGGAAGCCACTGAATAGTGACAGTATTGAGTCCCGTGACTGAAGGGACTTTCTCCCTTAATATAGCAGTTTCCAAACCCAATAGCTATATTTTATTTCACTTACATCAGCATGAAGCTTGATTTGGAAAGCGCTGATGGAACTCATGAAAATCTTGTACATGCAGAGCAGTATGAAATTAAAGTTGGTATTTGGATTTGATTCTCCTCTCTTACAAAAAAAAAAAAAGTCCAGTTATTCCAGATTGCTCCCATTTATATAGTATATCAAACAGTTTTTCTACAAAACGTGTATGAATCCTGTTTAAAAAACAAAATGATGTAAAGCATTCAGCCTCCCAACCATTCATAATGAATATCCCAGTATGTGACAAAAAATGTGCAAGCAAATAATGAGTTTTCAGGAAAGATCTGTTGACTGAGATAAAGAGGAGGTCTGGGTGGCTTCACAAAGGAAGGAGTGGATTTTCAGATCAGATTAAATGTCGATTCTGTCTTTGCAAGCACAATGCAGTTAGTTCACTGGCTTTAATCCAGTGCTCTCCAGCTAAAGGCAAAGTCTGACCTGTTCACTTTCTTGTCATTGTGTAAGAGACCTTTAATTCACCTTTTGTACTCATTCAGACCAACGCTTTCACTAAAATGTGCTTGTGAAACCTAAGGTTTCAAAACTCAGAACTGCGGCAATTCTACATTCAAATTATTTGAAGATTACTGCTGCCATAAAAATAACTACTCATTAGCCTAAAATATTCTTTGTCCTCCCATGCTCTATTAAAGGATTTTAAAAAGAAAATTCACTGTATTAGGTGAAAGGAATTTTAAATAGCATTAAATATAATGGAATTTACTTAGAGAATGATTTCTAGAAGAGTTATGATTTAGGCAATGAGAGTATTTTTTCTGCTAGGTAACCTATAAAGACACATCTCAGCCTGCAGCTGAGCAGAGAGGAGTCAAACCAGTGTCAGGCTTTGTGATTGTCCTCTATTATTTGCGATACAGAAATAACCAATGCTCTCCATAAAAGCAGCAAAGTTCACTAAACTACTATTGCTGCCATACACAGACTCGCAGTGGTCTGCACTCTTACTCAGACATTCTCATGAAGTCCCCCTATGCTTATCCTCACAAAGAAGTCATGACTTGAAATAGGTTTCCATCTTTCTTCTCGGTAGCAGTATAAAACTGGGAAGTTGAGCCTGTTTCCACACGACCTCTTCATCCCTTAATACTGCAAAGTTTTCCACGAAAAACAATTTAATGCTTTCCCCTGAGACATAGAAAGAGGGAGAGGTATAGCTTAAAATAAGGTCACATATTCTGTACCTCAAATACAGTTTGGTACTGCTAATAAGCTGTTAATGATTCTTTGGACAGTTACTATTTTACATTCACCCTTGCACCTTGTACTATTTTACAGTGTCCTTGCAAAACTCACAGGAGTTACCTATGTCACTGAACGACATCTTATTTATAATTTCCACACATGCAAACCCTTTCCCACTGTCATAATAGTCCCTTCCCCCAACTCTGCTTTTTGTTCTAAGCAGTTCTTCCATTCCATTTGCTGTTAAATAGGAATGTACTCTAAAAATCAAGCTTGTCTGTCATAGGAGAAATAAAAACATTTTTCCATAAATCAAGACACATTTAGCTACTGAGTCTGTATGAATATGTACTTACTCACATGTGTATATGCCATTTATAATGGAGTAGATTTTGAAAGCTGCTGACAAAAACACATTGTTCAAGTTGCTTTTGGTTTGGTGTTCAACCATTTAGCAAAAGTACTCAGAAGGCTCTGATGGGTCTGACAGCCTGTCATCAGCTGTGCCATTTCTGTAAGGAGAGTGCTCTGTTGTGTCTTTTCAGATGTACCACCAATTAAAGAATATAACTGATTCCTTGCATAGATAATTGTAGAGAAACAAGAGATATGTCTCCATAGCCTCCTTGTGCCTGTGGGGTGAGAGCAGAACTCACTTACGGCTCTGCTGGATCCCAATAAAAAAGCCTCAGCAATTAGGCAATAGCACTGAAATAGGCAGTACAAGGGATTTGAGGATGTGAAATGAAGGCAGAAAAACAAAAATTTGAATCGAAATTTTAAGATGGGACTCCAGGAATTCTGCAGATGTCATTTTTCATTAAAGAATTCAGCTAAGAAATCTGTCTTTCTCCATTTTCTCTTCCTAGTAAGCACAGCTGGCCTATTCTTCAAGTAAAAAGTTTTCTTTAATCAAAACACATTTCATACATTTTGAGGACAGAAAAAAAATATTGGGCTTTTGTTAAAAACAAATCGTGATTTTACATTAAATTATACAGCAATGCTTTCCATCTTCTCCATTTGTCACTTGCCAAAATTGAGTTATAGTAAATGAACATTTGCAATAATCAGTACAATAATGTGTCTGATTTTAAAAAAGCCTTTTGTAGAGGAGAGGCACTGGAAGAACCATCCCTGGTTTTGCAGGGCTAAAAACCCTTTTGATTTCTTTCTGGTATTTATAGCTCTTCTTGAACACATCTCCAAGTCCGACAATTGAGCACTGGTTGCCAACCCTTACCCTCTTTGTTTGTTTTTTTTCTCCTGGCTTTTCCTTATATTTAAGGATTCTTCTAGTGAAGAATCAAAATTTAATCTTGCATAAATTGTGTTACAGCTTGCTCAGATATTGCCAACAGAAGAGAATTTCCTGTTGTTCTTCAGATGCCAGCAGCTAAAGTCAAGCGAAGACTTCATGCAGGTACAGTATGAAAAGTTGCCTGCTGTAAAACCATCCAAGACTTGCTTGCCATAAATATATCATTAAAGCATTCATATTCTGATTGCAGACATGGAGGAAATATGACAGCGACCACAGTGGCTTCATTGATTCTGAGGAACTTAAGGTAAATCAATATCTCTGAGTATGCATGACATGAGAACAGGTGTTGGATTACAGCCTTGCTGCTATCTCTTTCTTCAGATGCATGTTTTTGCATTTCAAACACAACAAAAAAGGAATATAATTAGCTGATGTTTTTATCACCAGTAAATTATTGAAAGCGAAACCCTAATCTTATCAATGTGGTTTAAAACATGTTTTAATTCAGATCAAGTTTGTCTCAAGTGACTCAGGGTAGCAGGTAGCTTAGAAGTAAGAAAGATTAAGAAAGTAAGATGGGCCTCTGGAAGCTATGTTGGTTACTTTTTTTAGGTACATTACGGAGGAGGGCTCTTTTGCTGGATTTTTCCTAAGGGCATTTCTACCATTAATCACTATGCTGCTGGAAAGATTATGCTCTCTCAAGTACCATGTAACCCTACAGTTTCCTCTGTCATACTGTTAGTACAAATGGAATTGGACTGCCCTTGCTTGGTTAACCTAGTAGGATTTTGGTATCAGCTTTAATATGCACAAATAACAGCAGAATCGAGATTATTCCATTAGTCATCTCAGACTTGCAGAAACATTAAAACTAGAGTGACTTTACTTCCCTAGTTATACAACCAACAGCACTTTGTAGATGCTGTGATTCTCTGTCACAGAATCACAGAGTGGTTGTTAGGGACCTCTGGATGTCACCTGGTCCAACCCCCCTACTCAAGAAGAGCCACTCAAACCCAGTTGCTCAGTCACCCTCATAGTGAAAACATGTTTCCTGATGGTCCTCTTGTGTTTCACTTTGTGACCATTGCCTCTGGTCCTGTCACTAGCCTGGCTCCATAGTCTTTGAACCCTCCCTTGAAGTATTTATATGCTTTCACAGTGTCACCCTGAAACTCCTCCAGGCTGAAGATCCCAATTCTCTCAGCCTTTCCTCATAGGACAGATGGTCATATTCAATAGCATCTGAGTAGAAAGGTGCCATTTTCCCCAGTAAATTGCACTTGATTCATTACTGTAGCTTTACATTCAAGGAAATCAAAGCGATTCATAGCAAGAAAAAGGCCTAGCAGTGTTTATCCATCTAATTTGGACTATTCTCCCCATATGTCATATAAAGAAGAGTTATGTAAATTTTATTAACTAAAGCACCAGGAGATCAAACTGTCCAAAATCATTACAGATCTTCTGTTCAGAAAAGGAATCCACATCAGAAAATTCACATCTTTTTTCGTTTTCCCTTCCTCTTTTGAGTTTGGTATCTGTGTGATATTTGCTGAGGATTTAACCTTAAGGTAACCCTCAGGCAGATGAGCCCATTCTCCTGATGACTGGTTGCAGGAGGTTGGTATGTCTAAAGTTGGTAGGATCAGGAGGAGGTAGCCCTTGAAAACTGTCCAGCTGTTAGATAATGCCTTAAGGACTGCTGTTGACTGCTATAATTTAAAATAGACTTAAAAAGGTAGGGCTGATTGAGGACCAGCTGAAGAATGAAGACATTTTAACTGAATCCCTAATGGTCCCATCTCTCTTGTGTTGTGAGATTTTGTCTGCCTAAGAGAAACAGGTCATTTTAACATGTTGAAAATGAGACATAAATACACAGTTTTATTTTTAGATCAGCATTTCTTGACAAGCATAAGCATTTTAAGTATTTGCTATGTGAGGAGTACACCCACGGACGACTTTGTAAGCGAAATTCAAGCTGGAAATCAGGAAAACTTTCTAACAATAGTAATGGCAGTAGAATATGTTGTCTAAGGTGGAGGCAAACTCATCATCACTGTGTTTTGGAAAGGTTTGGCAATAGCTCAGATCAGACAGTAATTCAGGAAGTTTAGATAAATAGAATCCTTTCTTGAGACATGGAGATGGACTGGATAGCCTTTCAATGCCCTTTCCAGTTCTATTTTCCATCAAAGGACACAAGATTAAACGTGTCTCCACAACATCCATTTACTGCATTTCAGTCATTTTCTTCCTATACAAAATACCAGGAAGGGCCTCCAGCATGGAAGAGGCCAAACTCAAACAACTTCAGCAGGTATTAGTCATATGACTATCGACATGGTTGCATTCCAGTTCAGAACAACAAGTATGTTTTCTTATATGCTTCAAGTATGTTTTCTTACATGCTCTCCCATTTTCTATCTTGAAATGTGGCCCTAAATTCCACAAAGATAATGACACTCCAATTGATGACAGGAATTAGGTGCTTCACTGAGCATTGACAGGCATACAGACATATCAGGTCTTGTAATGCCCTTGCTAAACAATTTGGTATCTTTCTTTTTTTAATGGCACAGATCTAGTGCAGAAATTTAAAACACTGAATAGGTGAGAAGCATCTTATTTTTTAAAGTAAAAATGGTTGGTGTTTCAAGTAATGTGACATCAAATTCTCATTCTAAAATGCAATGAAATTGGCTGCACACATTTAAAGTACAAGGTAGGAAGGCGCAATGTTCATATCTAGCTACGGGTACTGCCATAGGCAAGGACAAAACTTGATTAATCATTGATCCTTTCTGTAAAATTGTTCCTATGTTGCAAGAAGTGAATAGGCATCCAAGTTTAAAAGGAGACCCAAGGTTAATTAGCTTAGTTTACTGATAGAGCTGATTAGGAAGCAGTATTCTTGAAAGCCAAACTTTTTTCCAAATTCACAATACAACAAATGGCATACAATGCAGAAAGTTTTAGGAGTCACTTTTTCCAAATAAAATGCAATGTACTTGAACTTATCAAAAGAAACTTATATTCTTAGCTGTAACTATTTTTTTTCATACTTATTTGGAACTTCAACGGTAAATACTAAAGTGAAGTAAAACAGTATTTTCCATTACCTTAATCCAAAGTTAGCAAGTCAAATATTTTATACTGTAGATAAAAATTCACCTATTACTCTTCTATTTAACAGAGCTTCTTGAAAGATTTATTACAGAAAGCAAATAAGCAGATTGAAGACTCAAAGCTAACGGAATACACAGAAATAATGGTAAGATTATTCAAAGGAATAATGGGTTAATCTAAACTCCATTTAGCCACTGGAAGGCTCCAAATGACTTGGAGACCAACTAGGTCCCAATCAGGCTAACTATGTCATTGTAACAGAGAGACAACTGTGGCACTGCAAGTACTTCTGCAGCTATGGAGTTTCGATGGGCAGTTTTCAGTGCTGCTTAAAAAATAAAAGCCCAGGAATTTCTAAGCTTCTTGGTATATATATGGTACATCATGCTATTTTCCTGTTTTGTTTCCTTGTACCATTAGTTGTAAAACTGAAATCTTCACAGTTAGGAGAAAAACTGTTGCTACTGTCATAATTACATTATTATGTTTAGATCAAATTAATTTGGAGTTCCTTTCTATATTTTGCCTTCTTACAGTGGTGTGATGTCTGTCTCGTCTTAAAAGCCACTACTGCACGGTGGTTTCTTACCAGACTTACAAACATCTCATACTTTCCTTCTCCGCCTGCTTCAAGAAGGAGAAATTGATGTTTTAGATAGACACTATAACAAAACTGTTTCTTCCCTGACCTTAAATCAGCCCATCCTTGGAACACTCCTTCCATCCCACTGCTATGGTACTCTACAGTGAGGACCAGTACTGGCTTCTGTGTGGGCTTTTCAAGAAAAAAAAAAAGACAGAATTCTGGTCTTCAGGAAATGTGTATCACTACATTTATTGTTTTATCAGCTTGTTTTCAGCCTAAAATATTTTTAGCAATTTAAAACATGCTAGGTAAACACTCTAACCCTCACACTGGCTTAAGAATGGTTGAAAAAAACTTGTGTTTCTCCTGGAAGAAGTCTGCTGGTTCGTTGTACCAGAATAAACTATTTATTTAGAATTGTCACTGTTTATTCACTGGTGAAGATAAAATGTATCCTTTTCATCCAGAGAGCTTTCTAACCATCATCATAAAGTGTTTTATAAGTTCTGGCCTCTGTGGAGATACACAATCACAAAGAATTTTGTTATAAGAAAAAAAATATAAGCCCAGCTCTCCCACAATCTCCTCAAAAAACAAAAGACTAATAGAAAATGTACACTCCTGAGCAGCTGCTGGCAGGTACAGCCAGCCACTAATAACCCATCAAAATACAAAATATGGTGACTTCACAGCTGCCACCGCTTACCTTGCCCAAATGCAAATCTGCTTTCATGGGAAACACATGCAAGGCAGATGCTTTTATACAAAAGGAAGGAAGTATTAAAAGGAACCAGGGTGTTACGTAGAAATAAATGTTTGTAGAATTGGTAACTTTTTCTGGTATATTTTGCCATTTATTGTCTAAAGTGA